GCTGGTCCACGAGTATCTCTGTCTACCATCCATCATTGGTGGTCATGTTGGACTACCCATCTTCTGTTCCTTGTGTGAAAGGCTGGGATGCCATGTAGCTTAGTCTTTTGGAGTTTGACTTAATCCAGCACTCATAATAGATTTATTTTAATCCAGGTTACAGTTGCGAGTGGAGCATACTAGTCACTAACTTGAGGAATTTACAGTTAGACTAAAGAATTGACTCTGAGACTGATATTCAAAATCCATTTCAACCTTTAATACAACAATTCTAAATATTCATTTACATTAACATTAGCAAAAGTATCACGATGAGCTTTTACATTGAAAGAATCAAATGCTTTGTTCTGAATAACCAAAGTTACTACGTCACTCACTGTAATAAGCAAGTTATCTATTAAACTTTTAATCGACATATGCTCAGATTCAGTGTACTTTACGAACTCTCCTTAACATTATATGTTTTACATCAAATCCTAACCACGTTAGTTGACTTGAGAGAGATAGCAATACTTACTTACATGGAGCTCGAGCGAGACATAGTTTCTGGTTCTTGCAAAGGAGACATTGGCATAGCAGTTCCAGTCTTCAACATATTCAGTTCTAGAGTGGTCAGCAGTAGTAGGTTGATGGCCTTTCTTGAAGAGGCAGGAGACTTGCTTTCAGCCCAAAATATGTGTTCTTATACCAGTTCTTTCTGGTATCCGTACGACTTTCCAAATAGTGTACATGTCTAACCAGCAAGTAGATCTGTCACTTTGGTTACTTTTTGCAGACTCATCGTAATTCTTGCAACTAAAAACAAAAATACTTCAATAATTGGTCGTAATCAAAGATGGTAAATTGGCAGTCTGTTTGCATGTATCTCTCCTCATCTTTTTTTTTAATGATCCTGGGCTCTGGTCCCATCAATGCCTACCTCTCCCACTTTTACCCTCCTATCTTCTTCCTTCTCTAGTGACCCTATGGTTTTGCAAATTCTTTCTCATTGTTTTTCTCTCTCTCTTCTTTTATATTCCACCTCTTACCTGTCCTCTTCCCACTGATCGTGTGCATCTTCAGGACATGGTCACAGACTTGTCTTTGAATCACTTTCTTAGATCTGGATAGATGACTTTCTCAATTTGCATTGGGCCCTCTCTCCTGGGCTGTATTTAACCAAGGTAGATGTTTCAAATGTCTTCCCATTTGTTCTGTGTCCTCCAATTTGCCCTTGATGATCATGTCTTTCAGTTTCATGCCCATCCCTTTTGACCTAGCTATGGTCCTTGAAGTGTTCAGGTAGATCATACATTCCTTTGCTTGGCACAATCATTGTCTGGGCTTTCATTTCCATTATTATATGGTTGTATTGCTTCTTTTGACCCCATCTCGACAGGAATTAGTGATTGCTACTTCCACTTTTCTTCAGAAGGGCTCTTGCATGGTTTGGTCTCCAGAGAAGCATTCTCTGGATATCAACTTTTTGGAGATGACTGTGGCTTATTGGGCTTACCCTCTTCTTTGGTCACAGTTATTTGATTATGTTGTGATTATCCACTCAGACAACCCTATGGTTGTTACTTCAATCATCTGCTCTCAGAAATTGTGGTTTCTCACTCTGGAGTTTCTTTCTTTGGCCTACAATTGTCATATTCACCTTATCATTTGTCATTCATGTCCCTGTGGTTTTGTATCTAGTGGTGTATCACTCCTCTTACCTGGACTGCATAGGAGAAGAATCAGATTATTTCTCCCATCTCTTTTTGCTCTATTTCATCATTGTTTGATTGTTCCAATCTAGATCATTCTTTGTGTCCCATACAGACTGTCTGTTCCTTCTTGCTCAGTCTGCCCCTTTCTCTGGTAACTGCTCTTTCCTGTTGTTACCATAGCAGATCTCCTCCTCTTGGGACTTGACCCCTTCCACTTTACCTGGTTGTGTTCACCAATCCATCCATCTCACACTTTACTCTATGGGTGAGTTTGACCATTTACTTTCTTTGATCTCCCCCCGCTCACCAGTTTTGGCATGTCATAGCCTGTCTTGCTTCTTTATGGCTGGTGTGGGACTATACATAAATTTATTTCCAATTGTGTACATCATTGGATAATTTCAGGTGTCTCTCATTTTTGCCTCACTCCAATTGCCATTACCCAGTCTACTCAGAGGCTCTACTGTAACAAGTTTTGCCTATTGTGTTTTTCAGGCATCTCCATATCATTCATTCATTTCATGGCACTTCCATGTGTGTACCATGTTTTTTGTACACATTCCAACATACTGTTCCTCAATGTGGCTGGTGTTGTGTCATGGGAAATACTTACTTGTAATCTACATCAAGCAGGGGTGAACAGAAAGCATTAAACCCACTGACACCTGCTCAGTGCCCACCATTGAGAAGGGGGTTTCTGCAAGACTTCTTTGACAATATATCTCTTAAAATCAACGTAGCCATTTCCACACATTTTACAAACAACAATTGACAGCATATGGTGTAGTCCTGCTCTTATACTTAGCTCAAACTTTCTCTCAGTGGGTACCTAAATCCACATGATTGTGCCTGATGACACTATTCTACACACACTCTGATCTTCTCCCTAGTGCATATTCCTCTCCCATATTTTTCTAGTGAAGCATGGTAAAACCATTACCTCCCCAGTCTCAGGCCACTGGGGATATTCATATAAAGGTTTTCCTCTGCAAATGGTGCCTCCCCCAGCTGTAAAAGAATGGTTAGGCTCACCACTCGTTTAAGATAGGGTTAGGGTGTTCTCAGGAAATGTAGTGCAGGACACCCATTATATAATCTCCCAATCAGTACCCAGTGGATATATCAAGTCAAATGGGACATGGATTTGCCTTGGGATGCAGTTGAGAGCTTCTCATTCCTCCAATACAATATCTATAGTTACAATATATATATTTTGTATTTCACCAAATCATGATAGTCTAAAGCTCTAGCCACACTGCACATTTTCATGTTCATCCACCTTTGTGATGCTTTACCACTGGAATTTGATTTACCTGTTATTCTTTACTGTAAATTTCTCTGATGCAATTGTAATTTATTTTGGAATAATTAGTTGGCCAGAGATTGTTCCCGACTTGAGAAAGGTGCAGTCTCCCACCAGGTGCTGCTATAGTAAGTGGCTCCTGATCTCGTGGAAGTCACAACCCATGCTCTTTACTTTTCTGTTGTTATTTCAGAAAGAAACTCATCTCTGTAATTGTTCAGTGCCAGCCCTTCCATCATTTTCATTGTGGGATTCTAACTCTTAATGGTGCAGAGAGGTAAGTATCATTTCTGAAATTAACATTTTCCTTACCTGAAATTGTATTTCAGATAGATACTCTCCTATCTGCACAATTTTCCCACCCTTACTTCCCAAAGCCATTGTATATTCTTTGCACCATCAAGAATAAGCCTATGATCATGTGGTGCTCATGGGAATTACTGCACATGGAAGTTGTATCACCCTTCTGTTGGTGAAAAGCTACAGCATTGTGATGATTACATCATAAGCTGGCAGAATACATGTTGACATGTAAGGGTGGGAGTTTGTTCAAGGCTTGTGGCATGCACAGGAGATTCCATAGTAGTTGCATGCAACGTAATAGCTCTTAGAGGTGCAGAGATATAAATATCTATCTGAAATACATTTTTAGATAAGGAAAATATTAACAATGTCAAGTGTGATCCTACCATCATACTTGGCTAGCACTTGTTGAGTCTGAGCACCTCTTCTGCATTCTCTCCCATGCAGATTCTTCCTCGCCATTTTCTTATAGTGAAGTAATCGGGAGAACCCTTGCTTCCCCAGTACCAAGCCAATTGGGGAGTTTGATATGAAAAGTTCCTTTTTGCACCTGTGTAGTCTCTCTGGTGTGAGACCAAGTGGATGCACCTATCGATGGGAAGAATAGCTTGGTATTTACCTGGAAGTGTAGTACAGGCCACAACCTACACTGAGAATCAGACAATTCCTAATAGTTGTACAAATTAAATGGGTCCTATTCGTGGGGTGCATGTCTGGGATGAATCCTTCCTACACCTACTTATTCTGGCAAGTATTTCATGTCATATATCTTCATACTGTATGTCCTGATATATTGCTTTAGCAACAATAAACACTCGTGCTTAGCTGACCGTTTGAGATATAATATTCCTTACCATCTACATATGCGACACTGTAGTACCATGCAGGAGGTTCTATTGAGTACCTTTTGCTCAGCCACCTTTATTAAACAAAGAGTATTCCGTGCATGAGAAGGATGTCGTTGCCCACCAAATTATGTCCCACTAGGTTTTCTACTCTGAGTGGGTGAAATACTCCATGGGGTTTTACCTTTCTGGTGGTGTAATTTATGAAAGCATCTTTTTAATTTCCTTATTTACATTGACCACTCCACTATCTTATCAATCTGGGATTGTCTCTCAGTCCTGTGGAGAAGGTAGTAGAATTTCTGAATGTTAACATTTCTACATCATTTTCCCTTCATTCAAAATATATTTTAAATGGATACTCACCTCTACACAAAACCTCCCAACTTTCCTCCATATCTCCAGTATGTTTCTTTTGTGTTATCAAGAATGACCCTTTTTTTGTAACACTAGTATTCAAGGGATTTATTGTACATAAAACACATTTTACCCCCTTATTGGGCTTCTCAGTGGCTCAATGGTAAGTCTGTGGGCTTATGATACTAAGTAATTGGGTTTCTATGCCCGTGGTGAGCACAGCACAGATAGCCCATTGTGTAGCTTTGCACTTAACAACAAACCACCCCCTCCCCATTCTGGTGGAGGGATGTAATCTAATGATAATTACATTATAGGCTGATGCAATACAAGTTAATTTATGTGAAGGGGTGGGAGTAACCATTCAAGGCTTGTGGCATGTACAAAAATCTATTAGGCAAAGGTGTGAGGTATAACGCTGTTTGTTCTGTTAAGAGGTTAGTATTTATCTGAACTGCCTTTTAAGATGAGAGAAAATGTTAACTTTGTCTGCATTAGGTTTGGTTGTTTTGAAAGTGGCCCTGTGAAGTACAAGAAAAGAATTCACAATGTTCCAAGAGACGATAAAGATGCAGCATCAACCAACCTTGTTATGCCTCAAAATGTGAGTAGTTTAACCTTGAATTATTTCAGTTTCACATGTTTCTCATATTTGATATTGCCACACTCAAAATCTAAATGCAAACTCTCATTTTTACTTAGATTTATTAGATTTTTTTTCTTGTTTCTGATACAGTTCTATAAACTGTTAATATCTTGGTAATTTTTGATTTGTCATAAAAATAAGTCTTCAGTCATTGTGAGTGTTTGTAAGCATAACATACAATCTGAGCATGCATTACATTGCATGTGAGTGTAATTTACTGTGTACATACATTACATTGTATATTATGTTGGATATGAAGGTGTGTAAATGTGACATATAATCTGAACGTATATTATGTTGGATATGAAGGTTTGTAAATGTCACATACAATCTGAACGTATATTATGTTGGATATGAAGGTTTGTAAATGTCACATACAATCTGAACGTATATTATGTTGGATATGAAGGTGTGTAAATGTGACATACAATCTGAACGTATATTATGTTGGATATGGAAGTTTGTAAATGCAAACGTATATTATCACTATTACTTTGTATAAAACATGAAACATTTATTACTTGTATATTTTTCAAGCATTATTGTGACCTCCATTGTGAAACACATGTTGTATAGCTGTAATTTGTTATGTATTACATCTTTCAAAAGGGCATTATAATAATTAGGTAATGAATGTCATTTAGACATATTTAAAATTAAACCTAATATTTGGTGGTTATACAAACTCACATTTCCAAAAATAATTAGCCTCTATTATATAGTATATATTTTTTATTTTGTGTTCAATTTTAGTGAAGTTATACCATGCTTAATCCAAGTAATTGTTGGTCCCAAGACATTTTAAGTTTGGATAAATTTCACTAATTTATTGGAAACAGGTAACAGATATGGGAAATTCGTATCAGGAGACTACAACCCAAGAAGTTGAAAGACTCTTTGCTCTTCTACAAAGGCTTTATAATAGAAATGACAGTAGGGTGCTATATTTTTATATTCAACTTACACAATGAATAAATTTACTTTATTCCTTATGTGGAGTAAAGTTAAATCATAGAGTTTACATTAATATATAGTTAGAATATTTCATAAGTGACCTAAAAATAGGCAAACCAAAATAGAAAAAGTTTATTTGCTTATAGTTAAGCATAAAGCTACACAGTGGGCTATCTGTACTTTGCCCACCATATATATCAAAACCTGGTTTTAGCATTATAAGCCTTCAGACTTACCATTGAGCTACTGGAGGAGATAAAAAAAAAAGAAGTATATGAAACGTGCCTGAGTAAATTTTGTTTTTTAGAAATAGATACATGGAAGAAACTATTTAGTTTTAAAGCATGAAAAATGTAAGACTTTTTTTTTTGCAAGTTTCTAAAACATTAGAAACAGATTTGATCAGCATTTTTAATATTGATCATCTCTTATTATTTTAGGGCAGCCAGTCTGTTATTTTCAATTTGTTGTTAATCCACAGTCATTTACTCAGACTGTCGAAAATATATTCCATGTTTCGTTTTTGATCAAGGTAAGAAATATGTCTGTGTTCTGTGAAATTGTTAATATCTAAATCAGTTTGTTGTGTTATAGTCTTAAAGTAATAATTTATGTGTTTTTTTTTCTGGTGACTCAGCAATATGCTAGAATTTGAAGTTCAAGCCTTTTTGTGGACAGACACACAAATAGTTCATTGTGCAGTTTTGTACTTGATAATATAATTATGTGATGTATATATATTTATCACATGTTTCACTCTCACAGCATATGAACTTAGCAACAAAGTTTTTTAGTCTTGTTCGTGTTCTGGCTCAGAATCTGATAAATCCCGTGTATTGTAAATGTGAAATTAGCCCTATGTGTTACTTTGAGTTTTAAAAAGGTATTATCTTTTTGTTACATGAGTAAAAATGTATTGTAGCCCACATCACTCTGAGTGCAAGATTACTATGACTACCACATCTTAGATGTTACAATCCAGTTTATTTGTGATGAGTTGGCTATAGAGAAAACATGAATTGTGAGAGTTTTTGCACTGATTCTTACCAGCTTTGTTGGTCAAGACCAACTGCTGCTGCATCCTCTCTCCAATGTTCTATGTTTTCTAACTGCCTGTTGTAGATTCATACCATGATTTTATCCCAGTTTAAATGGAAGTTTCTGTAAGTTTTATCAATCCTGTTTCTGTTTCATTTGTTTAATTTTTTTTCTGTCGGTTACATGACAAAATGAGGTAGTTTTGATACAAGTTAAGGAATGTAGTCTCTTTCACCGATCAACTTCTCTAACCTTTCATTACTGTGGTGATAAAATGTTTGTGTTCTATAATTAGTCTTGAAACACCATATGTAAGTGAACATGATTATATTAGTTTATGTAAGCTGAGTTATATAAACGTTTTATAAGAAAGTTGAGAGTATTACAGTATGTGTTATTATATGCTGTATATATATACACACACACACACACACACACACACACACACACACACACACACACACACACACACACACACACACACACACACACACACACACACACATGGAGATACAACAAACAGAATTGTTAGCTATCCCTGAGATTGACTAACAAATATAAAATTTCATTAATCAGTGAATTCTTAACACCATTTAGAAGGTTATAGGAGTAATTATCTCTTGATTACACAAGAAACAGTACTTTGGTTTGATTTACTATTCTGCTTGGACTATCTGCAGATTTTTAGTAGTAGAATGTATATGTCTATTAATTGTTCTTGTCAGGATGGAGTTGCAGAATTATCATTAAATGAAGACCAACTTCCAATTATTGGTGAGTTATTTTTCCAGAATATTATGACAAAAAATGAGTAGTTAGACAAAGTTAAATTTGTATAAGGTTATGTAAAATAGAGAGTATTGTGTTTAAAGAGTGATTTGAAGCAGTAAGATGACTAAAATCTGTCAGCACATCATGAGCTTAACAGCCAAGCACAAGAAGCATGGAATTCTCCAAACAACATGCAGAGTGTTACATATTATAATTTCAATTGGTCTGAAATTGAGTTAACTGATAAATTTAAATTTAGTAGTTAAATTGTACCTTGGATTTAGTAGTTAAATAAAGATTGATACACACAGTTTTCTTTAACAGAAATACGTTTTAATATACACACAACAATACAATTTACAATAGCAGTTATTACAAACAATGAATTATAAACAAAAGTTTCACAAACTTACAAGCAATATAAACTCTTCTTTTTAGTCTGGAAATTCTTTGATATGTTATCGAGGGTTCACAATGAGCGAATTGATTATGAGTTGACGTAGGTATAATTCACTTCACAGGGAGCTAGCTAGCTTTGTCCTTCGTTATTTACCAGCAACACATGCCAAGTTTTCCACAGTGAATTTATATAATATTTTCATAAAAATACTAATGTCTGATGAAAATCCACTGAAGTTAAATGTAATGTTCGAACTTTGTAAAGGTTCCTGGTCAAATATCTGAAGTTTTCCGATTGATAAGGGTTATAACAATCACAGTTATTGCTTCCAAAGTTTAAAGCACACTGACTATAGCAAACTAATAATAGATACTTTTTTTTTTTTGCTGTGGTGCATTGGTTATATTTATAGGCATGTGGAGGCTTTCTCGAATTTTCAGTTTTATGTAACAATACTGACGCTAACACTAGCATTTACGTACACACGTATTGTTAATTCTTACTCTTGAGAATCTTCTACAACTTTGGAGAATAGGTAGGAGTTTTGCAATACATATTTAACAGTATAAGCTATGTATGTTTCTAAATATAAATTGAATCTAAACAAACATCGATATTAAGATAAATATATAATAACAAAATTTTTACAAGAGGTATTCAGGAACCATTTAGAACCACCTTGGTAGATATTGTGCAGCAAGCCAAGTACAATATCATGCTTATAGCTGCTTTCAAAGTGTTCCTGTCTATCCATCCTACTGCTGACCATCGTGATGCTTTGATCTTCCCTACCGAATCACAGGTGAAATCGTTCATGTCTCAGTTAAAAGCTAAACAAGAAAAGATGATAGCTGAAGCGTAAAAGGTTTACAATTACTTAATGATGCTGAGAATGTGGCTTCATTGATATATACTGAATGTACTCCCAGTAGACCTCAGTACTAGCTAGTATGGAGACTTGAGGATGCTGTATTTCACTTAAAAATTATCAATTAACAAACGAAACTTGTCTTGAAGTTTTCCCAAAAAAGATTTGTCCAAAATCACCCTCTTTGGGAGTTTCTGGATTGAGGTTACTTTTAATATTCAACAAATTGTAGTGTAAAGACACCCCTTAGCTCTTGAAGGATGTGTTAAAACACCTGTGTTTTTATAAAATATTTTTGTGCTGTGGTGGTGTTAGGAAATAATTGTCATCTTTGTGCTATTATCACATCATATTATAATACTTATGTAAGTTGATGATGTCAATGCTATTATAAGACACTTATGTGTGTTTCAAAGCATTTCTTAATACCTGTTGTATGAGAACTTTCCATAAGAAATTCCTCAAGTATGCTTCAGGCCAATGCTTCAATCAAATTAAATAATAATCCTGATTACCTTGTTTCATCGTGTTTTTCATCAGCATTCAGATTAAGGAGAAAAGAGTAAATCGTTCATCTAATTGGAAGGAAGGAAAGGGGTACAATTACTGCAGTGTACCAGACAAGAGTAATTCATCCTTTTATTGGAAGGAAGGAAAGGGGTACAATTATTGCAGTGTACCAGACAAGAGTAATTCATCCTTTTATTGGAAGGAAGGAAAGGGGTACAATTACTGCAGTGTAAGGAGACAAGAGTAAATCATCCTTTTATTGGAAGGAAGTTTTCTTGCCAAAAACAAAACGCTGTAATTTCTTTGTTTTTACAAGATCACTGTGAATTATTTACTTAATTATATATATTATCTAACACATATGAAAATGTTACGACAGCAGAAGTTGCGCGACGCTGGACGCATGAGCACTGGAGTTTCTAGAAGGATCATGACTATTCCTGGCAACTCTAGTCTTTTCCAGGCACCCTCTATTTTTAGTATATAAGCCTGGCAAATAAAGCAGAGATAAAATAGCAGATAGAGAGGTATAGAGACAGATAATTGAGTCAAGCAAGCGGTAGTTACCATAAGTAAAGTGCATGAATCATTGTGAATTATAGCGTGTGTTTATAAAAGTAGTTAAGTTTAAAGTGACTGTGTAAATTAAGTGTATTACAAAGTTTATAACGAGAAAGAATAAACTAATTTTAATTAAGAAAGCTTGTATCGCTGAAGTTTCTCAGAGAATTTTTACAGGAAATTATTAAACAAGCGGTTAGGTAACAAAAAGAATCTTAAAAGTTTCTTACTTGAAATCTAAGGATGAAGAATTAGGTTATTTGGTATTATTACAACAGTCTTCTGAAGCTTTATAGGAAGAAACCCACAGAATGGTATTAATCGTATGTTAGCTTGTTACAGGTTTTGTACTATGTTGATTTTATGATACATTTTTATGTACAACAGATTATGATTAAAAAAGAAACTTAATCCCAAAATGTCTTTTTTAAAAACCCACAACAGGCAGATAATAGGAACTGTAGTCTCAAGGGAGAATAATTGCACAGCTCTGCTAGGTATTTTTTCCAGGTCAACTGTTCGTCTTACATTCACCTTTCACCCATTTTTGATTGACCCATTTTATTTCTTTCATGATTAATTAAACTCCTAAATCACACCAACACTGATTCTTCTGTAGACAGTGACTCTTGAGTAGACAGAACAACAGTGATTCTGGTGTAGACAGTGACTCTGGAGTAGACGGAACAACAGTGACTCTGGAGTAGACAGTGACTCTGGATTAAACAGAACAGCAGTGATTCTGGTGTAGACAGAGTAACTGTGATTCTTTGTGTAAAAAATGTCATTCAGGAACCTTCACTTTTATAACCTGCTATATTTGGTTGTTTTTAATTTTAATTATGATTGAATGTATATTTTCTAGCACCAGTGGAAAAGAGAAATGATGAAAATTGGGTTTTAGAAAAATCAAATCAGTTTGTAATGCCAATTACAATGGAAAATTGGAGGGTAACCACACTTTAAATACTTCAATCCAATGTTATTGTTTTAGAAATTTGATGTTTTTTTTATTTAATATAGGTTTTTAATCATATTATTTTGTTTGTAATTGCAATCTAAAATGTGAAACACTTGTCCTAACTTTTTCACTGTTTTGAAACAATTTCAACAATACATAAAACACACACACAACATAGAAAGGTATATTCTGAAGCACACTAGATGTACAAATGTACACACAACATCCAAAAATTGCTCTAAAGTACACACAACATATAAGAGTGCATTAAAACACAAATGAAATACAAAAGTATTTTGACCAATTCTGGTCTGATAAGCATATTTAAATTTAACTGCATACCTGCATATCAAAAAAAAATTGAAGTAAAAATAATAAATCAAATTCTATTTCAATAATTTTGTACTCGAAAATATTATATAACTGACATTTTGTTATTCTGTAATAATTCTGTTTAATTTGCAAAATAATGGAAAACAAAC